TGATTTACTACATAAATAAAATCTACGAAATCCACTTCATACAGTTAATTTTAAAGACCACTTATACTGCCTACGTCTTCCAAGCTAAATCAAACAAACCTAAAACTTGAAGCACTCAAGTATGGAAAGAAATAAAAAAAAAAAGAAAGAAAAACTAAAACTTAAAGCATCTTTACCTAAAATCCTATTCTAGTTAAAGCATGTTACCCATTTGACTTCTTAACTTCAGCAAAGTAAATCTTATGAGCTCTAGAAAGAATTAAAGAAGTCAATTAAATAGAAAATACAAAGTTATCTCAAATCATGTGGAGAAAAATTGATATCAGCAATGTGGTAATTACAAATTAATGCCAAGCTTAACGTACCACTCAGCATCATTCATATCCATCTTTGTTGGTTTTTCAATGATAACCAAGCCATTTACCACCACAAAACGAACACGCTTTTCCTCTTGTATTACTAACTCAGGAAACTTTGATCTTGTTTCAAAAGAAGTCGCTAACTCCCGTCTTTTAAACGCACAAGAACCTACAAGCAGAATATCATCAGAAGATACCAAAAAGAATATCAACAGAATATTTTTATTTTCACAATAAGGGCCAATCTCATATTTATTTACTAAAGCTAATATCATAGGTCCCCTGTTTGTGTCAGCCAGCACGATAGTTCCACAATTGAGTAATAAATATTTTATAGTAAATTAAAGAACTAATGAACTATACAACAATAAATGTTCAATAAAAGATACTGATATATTCATCAAACAGATACGTATTCTAAGGACGGTTAATGGACTTCAGAGAAGCCAGTAATAAAAGAAAAATGATACCTTTTCTTGGAAATAAGTAAAACAGAAAATGATACCTTTTCTTGGAAATTTCTTCGCGAGCTTTCGATACAATCCACCAGCGGCTTCAAGGGCCACGCCAATTGTCTTTTCGCGCATACCACCCATTGATGATAATCTCATGTTAACTTCATTGACCAATGTTTCATACATATTAGCAACATACATTAAGGGCAAAGCATAGCGGGCATCGCCTTCATATCTGATCTCCCGGGACTTCCTCTTGTTTGAGTGGTCTTGGGAGGATTGCTGTACCATGTAATCAGCATCGTAGTCCGACATTTCAATCACATGAGTATCGATAAAATGATCTACAATGATGTCCAGGAACCTCGCTCTAGCTGTTTCTATTGGCGAGACATCTGCGAAGGGGTATGGAATTCAAATCCATATTAAGCGATCTCTTGAACAACAGAAACTGAATAAAAAGTAGTTATGCGGAACTGAAGGAAAACGTCACCATCAATCGTCAAAAGGGGGTATGGACCTGTTGAGGATCCATTGTTTTCAAGACTCCCCCTATCATCCTCTATACCAATGCTGTGAAGTGGTAAGGAGCTCTGGTACGGCTCGTGCATGCAATCCTACATGACATAAAACATGAAGTTGACATAATGAAAAAAACAAAAACATGAACCGAATAGTAAATAATTCAGTGCACAAGTACAATGCGAATTAATTCGGGGGAAAAAAAAGCAATCATTTCCTATTACGATTGTGCATAAGTATCCAAGATAGCCACAATTTTCTGCATAACAAGGAGGAACCCGAAGAATGTAATTTTTTCAGCTATCAAAGAGGGGAATAAAGAAAGGAAAGAACGCAGACATTGCAGAAGATTGATATTTGATCTTAGTATAACTTTAATCACATATGAACTATATGATCATATGTGGGTCAATAGCCATTAGGTAACAAACAGAACAGATGCCAACTACCAAGAAAAACAGCAAACAATTGATATTCATAGCATTATTAACATAACAAGGTCAAGGGGAAAATTCAACTCTATGAACGGTTTAACTCTGAACACAAAATCCACAAACCCAATGCCGATTTCAATTTTTCCGGGAGCTACATTTCGCGGATGCGAAATAACAAATAAGAAAACAAAAGGTAAACAAGTATTGCAAATACAAAATACAATAGAAGCAGTAATATATAAAATCCTAAAAGTGTATCAACATCGTCAAGTGATTTCATACTAACACTGACTACAGCAGATGACCGGTCGTTGTCATCGGTGACGTCATCCGCGGCGGGGTCATTGACGTCGTCGTTCAGGGAGGTCTCGATGTATGAATTGGCGGCGGCGGCGGAGGTCAAATTGTAGTGCTCCAGCGGGACAGTGCTCCCCATGGACAGCAGCTGATTACCCTAACAATATACAGTTTGAAGGGCGAAGGTTGTAACGGCTATACAGACTGCTAATGCGTGCGAGTTTGTGGGAGAGAGAGGGGAGGGGTTTGGGGTTTCCGAAGCGCAGTCCGAGCCTCCCACCGATGAGGTATATCAAACTGGCGTAGCCTGCGTAGGTCACACACCTCTCTTGTTAAAAAAATAAAAAAAAAAAAGGAAAAATGAGTAAATATATATATATTTTTTTTTGGTAGCCAACTACGGTATCCGGAGCTTTGCCTCGACTAATCCGTTGGTCGACCCGGGTCGCACACCTGGCAATGGTGGGTGAGTCTCCCAACAAGAATTTTCTACATTCACAAGGACTCGAACCCGAGATCTTGCTTAAGCGATATCAAGCTGCTTATCACTTGAGTAAACCCTTATTGGTCAAAGAATACTCGGTAAACCACAAGCCAAAACCAAAAAAACCGTCATGCCGAAAATCTTGACAATTAAATTAGTAACAAAATAACAAAATAATGAGTAAGTACTCGTACGACACTCGTGTATTACACGAGTGCATGAAAAATAATTGAACAAAAAAAGTAAAAAAGTTTAGTATTATAGCATATACAAAATTAATAAATGGAAGAAATCTCGTTAGAGTATAATGTTAGAATCTTGTTTAAAAATTATAATTGAAGATTTTGGAGTTTGAAGAAATTTGTTACCATATATTAGCAAAAAATTGAAACATTGTTAACTCAATTATCAAGGAAAAAAAATTAATTATCAAATAAAATATTTGTTACATAATTATCAAATAAAATAAACATTGTTAAATCAACATCGATTCACTATCAAAATAAAAGATGCATTGTTAACTCAATTATTAAGTTCAAATGATCATTAAAATAAAAAATAAAGTAAAGAAATAAAGATTTGTGTGATCTTTAAATTTAAAACAAAATTGATAGTGAAAAGGGAGGTTGATGGGAGGCAGCGATGTATGGGGGAATAATTATTTATGACACTTTTCAAGTCAATTTTATTTCCAAAATTTTTACCCGAGCCTAAATGCAAAACATGATATTGTGACATGTAGGATTCCAAAGCGTGTGAGCTTGTCACTTAGGCTCATCTCGTTTCCAACATACTCTTCATATTCTTGATCTGTTGCGCCCTCTCCTGACTGTTCCGGACAATACTCAATAGTAGCAAATTTGTACCCCTCAACAGTTAACATAATATCCAAGTTCCTTTTCCAGTCAATATAATTGGGACCAACAAGTTTGTTTTCATTGAAAATTACGGACAACGGATTGAAAGACATTTTGAATTTTTGGGATCATGCAAACATTAGTTTTACTCAGTCAAGTGTTTCGAATTTAAACATCAAATATTGATTCCTTCAAAACAAATTCAAATAAATTCACTGACACCTCAAAACACCGAATCCCCGCAGGCCACGTTGTGTGGACGTCTACGGTTCATACTGTCGCAAGAGGAGGGATAAATCTCATTAATTAACATACCGCCCCAACAGTACTTAATTAATAGTCGGTCCACCTTTTGGCCAGCACAAAATAAGAACAATATTTTCCTTTGGGAATATCGTAATTATTTGGATTTTAAGTGTAACCCATTAATTGATCCTAAGTTTACTACCAAAATTATACGTCCACCTTTAGGTGATCCGTACGCTTTTGAAATAGCTCACTATAACCATCCCTTAGGAGATTTGTCCTTATGAACTTGTGAATAAAACGTCCTTTGAGCTCGATTTAATCACTTTATTGACAAACCTATAATGGAGGTCGTGGATACAATTTATTTCAATCCATTCACACTTAATATAATAAATTAAGGGATTTTCCTAAACATGCATCTAATAATTTAATTTGCACGTAAAGCAATTAAATCATATAAGGACATGCATGATTAAACGAAAATAATAAACGAGGAATAAATAATACAACTATCATGACATTCAATCAATCTTCAAGCTTTTCAAAAAAACGCAATTCTTGTCCTTGTCGAACTACGTCTTCCTTTTCGGGAGTTAGACATCCTCTTCACCATGACTCCCATTTCTTGTCTTGAACAAGTCGTCTCTAGGAATCCCGCCATTGGATTTGGTCTGCGTGTTTCTCGCCACGCCTCATTGAGGTTGGTACACCTCCGGATCAATAATAAATAATATAAAACAATTACATAATTTATCCTATGACCCTTACATGAGCCGTACATGATTTTTCTTTGAAAGCAGTAAACTATGCGGTGTCCCACCACATGAATAAATTATTACAATCATTCACCAACCCAAAAATCCCTCGACATGTCAGAGGCTAGTAAAACAACATACATGTATTAAAACCATACATACGGGCCATAATAGTCGGATTCAAAATCACCTGCAAACAATTTTTTGCAATTTCTAATCTACTATGTGCTGCGTACATACACAATTAATTTACATAAACATGTAAGTCCTAATTCAAACAGTGCAAGAAGTTGAATTAAGTCTGGGCTCTGATACCAGTTGTTGGGTTTTGTTAAGAACGTCAACAACATGCACGCTTGAATTTGGCAAAATAACCCCTAACACAGTGGAATCTATAGTTAGGGTTAGGACAATACTGATTAAAATTTTTGTCGACTCTGAAACTTTCCTGATTTCCGTTTATGGAGGTCGTCTGAACACCAGAGTCCAATGGGCTGCCGGACTTGGACTTTCTCGATCCTAATCAAGTCGTTGGAACACAAACGGGTCAACGGGTCAAGGCTTGTCAAGATTGGCTGGTCGGATGCAGTTCAGCTCGGTCGAGTCGCAGCTGGACTCAGTCGGACCTCGGCTGGGGTCAGCTGGTCTCGGTTGGGCTCGTTGCGTCTCGGTGGTCGAGGTACGCAGACTGGGTGCTGGTCGCGGACGTTGGCGGGGCGTGGCGCAGACGGGTGCGGTCGGTGTTGTGAGTATTTTTACTGGAGTAGAATCGAAAGATTCGTTCTCCGAGTCGTATCGCAAGGAAGGTTAGTCGGACTTACTTGTACTTTTATTCGATCACGAAAAAGAAAAGACAATATCCTAAACACTCTATTCAATAATTTTTGGGTTTCAATTATCAACTAAGGACTTAAAACTAGTGAAAAGCAATTTAAATAGCAAGACGAATTCACTTAATGATTAAAGAGCTAGGGAACCGGGGATAATTGCTTTCGGTTCGAACACAATTAGCGGGCAATCAATTGCTCGGTTAAAGGAATTGAATCGTTTCTCGTTCAGAGATTCACTCACAATAACTCTACAGAACAAGAGAGTGAATGTAAACGATCAACTATCAGTTGCAATAACACATAGACCATACGTCTTCGAACAAGTCTATCCTAAACGAGCATAAATCGACCAACATCTCCCCTCTCGTTTCTACACGTTGATTAGCTAGGTTAAAAAGGTGATCAATCTACTAACCCTAGAATTTGCAAAACTCTAATAGACATGAACAATCAAAAGCAAGCAATCATTAAACAAACCTAATCAATCATCCCTTATCCCTAGCGAATGGATTTAGCTACTCATATCGAATTCAACATCAAAATTCATATAAACCCAAGACATCATCATCAACAAAGCAATTGAGAAAAAGGATCTTGCGATTAATAATGAGAATCCCTATGTCAAATCCAATGAACAATCCAAATCCAAAGCGAGAAAAAAGAGTTTTTCAATCTCCAAATCCAATCAAAAGAGAAAAAGCATGAAAAGGAATGAGTTTCTAAAGAGAAAAAGCGTAAAAATCAAGTCCCGAAGTGAATAAATGATCCCTAGGTCTCAATACTGGTGTAAAAATCCCGTCCTTGAAATTCGCGTCGGGAAAGTCGCGAGTCGCGACTCGCGACTTATCAATTTCTCAGGTCACGAGTCGTGACATCTCGCGAGTCGCGCGTCGTCAAAAATCTTTAAAATCTGGAGAAAGTCGCGACATGTCTCGCGAGTCGCGACACCATCTCGTGAGTCACGACATTGTCTCGCGAGTCGCGACTGTGCTCGCGAACTTCTCCTTTCGGCTTATTGTAAATATTATAACCGGAGTAGAATCGAAAGATTCAAACACCGGGTCGTATTGCAAGGAAGGTTAGCAAAATTAAATTGCGCGAATATTCAATCACAAAAGAGAAAATAATCCTAACACTCTAATCAAATTGATTTGGTTTGATTCTATCAACTACGAATTATGAAAATAATACTAACTATTTCAACCTCACAACTCCGGTTCTCAATACATTTAATGGGCAATCAACTACTCAACTAAGGACTCGAAAAACTAACTCCTCTAGAGATTCATTCTCAATATCTCACGAAACAAGAGAAAAAACATAAACGAACCATTATCGAATCAATTAGCACATAGACAATACGTTGCCGAACAAGCCTATTCTTAACGAGCCTAGATCGAATGATTTCTCTCTTTTCGGTTCTAAAATCAATTAAATAGATTCAGATGGTGATCAAGCATCTAAAACCCTAGGTTAAGCACAACTCGAAAAGACTGAGCAATTATCAAGCATATAAACGAAATCAAACCGGAACGATAATCCCCTAACCCTAGCTAACGAATTTAGCTACTCATAGCGATATCAACATAAACATTCTCAATTAAACAAGTCATCACATTCATATTCAAATGAAAATAAGAACTTACGATTAAAAGGAATCCAACGTTGAAAAACAACGAGCAATCCAAATCCAAAAGTCGAATCTTGAAGTTTCCACTATCCAAGATCGAAATCCAATGAAAAACTAAGAGAAAACGTTCTAAGAGCCGAAGTACGAGAGAGATATTCAGAACCTAGGTAAAAACAAATGCCAATGTTTTTAAAATTCAGCACATAAAAAATTGTATGTCGCGGCCTCCGCGCCCGCGGAGACTCCCGCGGGTCGCTGTGAAGTATGCTCCCGCGGTCGCGACTCTTCCCGAGGCTGCGAAAAATCTGGGCAGAAGGGTCCCGCGGCTGCGACC